ATCCCGTGCCTAGTTTCTGTCTCGAAGCTGCATCTGGGCACTCGCCAACCACCGCCCTTTCCTCCTGACCATGTCATACCCCTCCATTCAGCACCTCCACTTCCCCTTCCCCATCCACGACGTCAGCTGAGAGTTGTCATGCGCCCCCTAGCAAAGTACCAAGCAACACCGGCAGGTGACTCCCCGAAACATCGCTAGCAGAGGAGCTAGAGCCTCTCCCATTGGCGTCGAGTCGAGCAGAGGTTTCGTAATTGCCGATTTTTCGGGACTATTTACTGTCCATGTATGGGTCGTATATTTGAAAACTTCCTGCATCTCACGTACGGACGAATGTAATTGACGCAGACAGCTCTGGTACTTCTGCAACCCGAATAGCTAGGATGCTCAAATTTATCGAACATGACCCACGACAGTGCTTGGACAGATATACGTGAAAATAATTCTCACCCCTACATCTTCCTTACATCTCCATTACATCGTTGCCTCTTATATCAGTTGGAGTACATTCTGTTTTGTATATCTAATCGCATACATTTCGCTTTGCACTATTGGTGCTGTTATGAGCTGTTAATTTTTGCTTGCTTTTTGCGGAACGACAGGTATGCGTGCAGTCAGTCGTCTACATCACGCTTATTGATACCTGTACGTTGCCAATTTTATAATTACGCAACCGGATTAGCTGGAATTTTGAAATTTTAAGAGCTTATTTATGATATTATATAGGCAAGTACACGCGAAATAATGCCCACGAATCCTAGTATCTCACGGGTCTGTGAGATTTGACGTCGGCACTTTTGTAATTGAAAAAAAAAATAGCGTAAAAAAAAGGAAAGGGAAAATGAAGGAGGAAAAAAGGGAGAAAAGATGGGGAGGAATTATAATTTTTAAATTTTTCAAAAATTTTATAAAAAATTTAAAAAAATTTTTTTGTAACTCGACAATCAGACCAGCACGGCTGAAATTCTGTGAGCTTGTCTGCAACTGTGTGCAGGTAATTATACTGTTCAAGTAATTATATTCTTTCAAATCCTACAAATTTCATCTCCGTACGCGTATCAGTTTTGTTACGGGTTGTGCAATAAACGCATGATTGCACTGACAGTTATGAAATGGGCATCTATTTTTGTTTTTGTGAAATGTCTCGTAGCTTTAGGATTGAAATGGTAACTGCAGCTGAAAGTAATAGCCGCTTGCAGGGGTCATCTGTTGAGCTGTATTTGAAACCAAAATTAGCAGAAATTCTGCTAAATGTTGCGAGGCTATTTGATTCGGGCGGATTGCAGGGAGACGCAGAAGCATTCGAAATCCCATTCCAAGAAAGAAAAGAAAAGGAAGAGGGAGAAACACCGTGGTAGTCGCAGTCGTAGTCCCACTGAACGACACAGCAAATACAGGAAGCACCGAAGGTTCTTTTTCCTGTTCTTATAATGTGACTGCTTAATGCTCCCATTGCCTTTAACTTTTTGGGCAAAAACCGTTGTCGATGGGTACACTGTGAATGATATCTAAAGTGTACCTTCATTCCGTTAGCCTTTCCCGATCCCGTCTAAACAGAAACAAAGGGCGGTTAATGGCATAAATGCGTAAAATTTTGTACAAAACTTGAATATTATTAGGACAAGTTCCGAATCATCCGGGCGGAGAACACCGAGGAACACGAGAAAGAGGAAAAGACGACGTCACTCATACAGCAGCGATGAAAGCAGGTGACAGCTGCTACCTGATAAGCACTTCTGTTGTTGTTAAAATAATGCTGATTGTTGTTATTAATGCTCGAGTTCCTAGCAGACAGCTGGACGAGGTACGCAGCCGACTATATGTAAAAGAAATAGTGTTTTTTCTGGTTCAGCTATTGGCTCGTATCCTACAACGAGTTGTCTGCTCATTTTGTTGATGAAATGATCTATCATTCAGCTTGTCAGGAAGACAAAAATAGTAGGATCGGGGCAATTTTGCCCCTGTTCATTGCTATTGTCAACTTGCTCCCAGTCGAAAAGTCCTCAAGTTCCAGCTTCTGAGTAATGAAATGTGGTGTAAGAATCGGAGGGAGAAGGAGACAGGTGCGATATGCGGGGAAGAGGGAGAGATGGCGAGAAATCTGCTCTCATCTATTTGTCTTTAAAAATAGGAAACGCATCATGCAAGTGACGAATATCACAGTAATTCAGTAATTAGTTGGAACTATACGAAACGCAGTAGTCATCTTTCTTTTCTGTGTCATCTTCAGATGAATGAGAAAAAATGTTTATTCGCCATGATGGCAAAACGTCTTCTTTGAAAAAGTTCATGTACCGTTATGGATGTTTGTACTTTGTCATATTGTAAATAATCATTTCTTGCGTTCAGAATTTTGCATCTGATTTGCAACAGGTCGGCAAACGTTTGTCGTAGAAATGTGTAAACTCAGAAACTAGGAACTGTATCCCAGTTTTGAAGCCTTTGTATGCAATGCTTCAATAAACAGCGAAGCGCACCAGGGCAGTCAGTACGATCATGCGTTTTGCGCAGTTCCGTTCAGCGGATGTATGCTTACTAAAACCCAGGCTGGAACGCACCAGCGGGCCGGTGAGATCATGCGTTTTTGCATCATTTCGTGCTGTAACAAGATCGCGAGGAATTAAAATAGTTTGAATTTGTAACATATTGACTCTTAAATGTGCAGCTGTGGCATCTAGTTGTATATATCGGCTTGGAAAGTCGCTTGCGTGCGAAAAAGACCCACTAGAAGAAGTGAATTTGAAAACTCTTAGTTGCACGTTAGTAGGGAACATTCTCTTAAATCCTTCCAGCTTTCTCGTCCTTGAACTAGAACTATTCCCGCCAAAACTTTCACGTTCCCATACGTGAGACACTGGCGGTTCTTTGGAGCTCAGTTTGAAATATTTTAGTCATACATAGATAGGTAACATCTCCCTAGCACGTGATAAGTTTTCACCATGTCTTCCTGAAGATCATCATTTGTTAGAGTGTTGTTAGCTTACTTCCGTGCAACTTTTAGGGTGTTTTAGTAGAAATATCCGGACAGACGAACACATTATGCGCCTTTGCTGCCTGTTGCAGCTTCCTAGCGTTGCATGGCAAAAATGCATAACCCAGGCTGGAACGCACCAGGCGAGCCGGTGCGGCCATGCGTTTTTGCATCAGACTTGAAGTACTCAAGTCATTAACTGCACAATTGGCTTTGCTTTACACCTACCTTTTGCGGCCGCTGGCATAAATTACCATAAATTTCGCAGAGCAAATGTACAATTTTCATTTAACAGTCGTTCTTTAAAAGTAACTTAGTTTTTCAGTGGGAAATTTTTCCGCCAAGAAGGCGGTTTTCCTGCCAAACCTCCCCCCCTCCCCCCCGCCCCCAGCACCCCGATCCAGTGACTTGAAACTCAGTACTCAGGTGTGTGAAAGGTTCTGATGTGCGAGCTCGTGAAAATTTTTGGCGGGAAAATCGCCTTCCCGAGGACCAGGACAGCTAGGCCTGGAAGCAGCTTTCACGCCTGACAAAGACGTCGGCGCTTAGATTCTGGCGTTTAGCCATGTGTACTTGAAAACAACTTCATGCTGCTCCCAAATATTTCACGCAACTTCGCAACCGAAACAGCTACAGCACTAAAATTTCCTGGGCATGGTCCACGGCCGCGTTTGACCAGAAGTACATTAAAAAAATTCACTTTTCTCCGCACCAGCACCTATCTCCTCACTTAATGTAACCCCGCATCTAAGGTTGCCAGAGCGTTGAGATTTCATGAGCATGAGCCGCGAGCATGTCTGGGCAGGCCCTTGTGAACACATGTTGAGCATCATGCGCACGGTCAGCTGGAGGTCTGGAGTTATCAATACTTTTTG